ATTAGCACAGCAATTCGCATAAAGAATAACAAAAACTTTGGCTCATATATTCGTGCAATTTTTTTACATTAATTGTTATCATAATTTCAACCCGTGCGATATTTTTGAGAAAATGACGTCATTTTCTCAAATTTTCAACCAAGACTTGGAACAAGGAAAATTAATGGCGGCCGAAAATTCTCAGAAATTAAGGTCCAAAAACCACGAGTTTTAATGTTCGTAGAAAATTGAAATTTGGCAAGATATCTAGGAAAGACCTCCATTAACGCTGATGATCGTGGAATATGACCGCAGGAAAAGGATTACGTAACACTAGGTAACTTGATATGACATGATTATGTATAAAATTATAAAATGACATGATTATGTAAAAACAACACAATTTTTTTTCTCAGTGTGCGTTTTGTACCAAGTCTGCAGTGTGCCGTTTGTACCTAGTCTGCATCTCGTACCTGGTCTTCATTTTGTACTTGGGTCTGCGCTTTGCAGTCCGCATTTTGTACTGACCGTTTGTGAAACGAATCTTATTACTATTCCATGGCTTAAAACGCGTCTAAGAGGTTTTCTTTGCTCCTTAGCAGCTTGGTGCAAGATCCAGTCTCTCAAGGATAAGCGAGTTTTGGGCGGCTTTCCTCTCAATAAATAAACCAATTTCGATATATTAAAATTCATCCTAAAACAATGGACCTCAGTACGAGGCTTTCCGGAATAACTGCAGAGTTTGTAGGGTTTTGTTTCCCAGAGCCTCAAGCTCAGGTCTATATAATTGCTCTATTCTGGGATCCCACAAGAAGTTACTTGTACCCATTCCACTTAGAGGACAATTTGAATGCCTTAGCCTAAATTATGAGAGTCCGTGCTTGCACGTGAATTTACAAGCGCAAAACATTCTCAACAATCTTGCGTTCTTCCTAAATATTATTCTTACAGCAAAACATTTTGCTGCTCTTTCTAATAGCTTGTCCTGACAATCCTCATATTCTCAAAGTAGACTGGTAGACTTCCACGTTGACATTTGTTTACCACTGGGTTCCTCAAATTAACGCCTTCTGAACTGATTACCGTCAAATCTAGTCTAGTGTCTTGACTTAGAATGGGAACCAGTCTGGTGAACTAGACAACGTATTAGACAACAAGACAGCCTGTTTTTATATGGGGTCTTGTACTCTTTTACA